CTTATGTCTTTCATTCCCAGAATGATGCCCAGTCTATTAGTCCACAGTCTTCCCTAGTCAATTTAAAAGATTTACACTCTGCAATTCAGACTCCCTGACTATAAAATGACACTAACACAAAAAGTTCAAACACAGGGCTCTTCAATCCTTTGAATTATACTTAAAATCTATTAAAATACCATGTCTTTGGTGACAGTGACAAAGCAAACTTCACTAAGCTGTGTTTAAAAAGACTCAAAGCTAAACGAAACTCATTTTCACTTTAAATCTGATTTTGACACTGACATACCATTATTGTTGAAGCTTTGCAAAAAATGCATTCATGATTTTCCCTATCTCGACATATTTCATTAGGGAAATACTTTTTTTATTCTGTTTACAAAGAGGATTAGAAAGCATTGCATCTTTCACATAAATATAAAACCCTGCAACCCAACAATCTGAAAATTTGTACTACTCATTCTCAGCCCATGGGAACAGCAAAAATACCTGGAACAGGAGATGTAGAAAACATAATGTTTTACAGATAAGATATTTGACAGTAGATGAGACTTAGATCACTCACATAAAGTTTCAAATTCTTTCTCTGCAATTTACAGAGCTCAGAAAGATTAGGTTTCAAAGTAGGAAGAAAGCATATCCTAAAAATAATTATTATTCCTAGAAGACACCATAATTTTCCACCTAGAAATACACATATGGACAAACCCATTCAACAACAAATAAGCAAAAAATCTGGCTTCTGACTAAATGGCAAAGACAAAAAGCAAAGGAAAAAAGCAATTACAAAACAATGTGCCAAGTACACTCCGTTATATGTTTGCTGTTGCTGATCCACCCCACAGAGCATGATGTGTGCCATTTGCTTGGCTCCAGGTGGGTGAACTCAAGAGCGAGAGGCACATGCACAAACATTTTACTCTCTCCTGAGCTGTCCTTCTTAACATTCAATTTCACTTCTTTCTGCTGTACCAACGTTGTTATCTCTGATGGAACAATATATTAAACAAAAGCAGAAAAGTCACAGTAGGAAGGTTTTCCTAAGCTGGTTAGCCATGCTGTATCTCTGCATTAAGCAAGGCAGGTTAACTAGATAAGTCTTGCACCTTCCAGAGAAGCATGATCAAAGCAGGTAACTAATTTGAAATTATAAGCCATTCCTCACCACAAATGGAGATGCAAATTTAAGAAACCACACTGAAAATATCTGGGATAATTAATTCACTGTCATTATAAGATGCAACATATCTAGTTGTTGCATTTACATTCTTCCAATACCATGACACAAACATCTAAGGGAAAAGAAACATGATTTTCATTAATGCAGCTCATATCTATTAAGGGTAACTAGTTAAGCCAATAGGCTTTGGTACTGAATTATTAAGAATGTGATTCAAAATAACAGTTATTCAGAAAACAACAATATCAAAAAAGATTTCACTGCAATGGAAGAAAGCACACATGATATGCTTCAGCTGTGTACAATCTGTTCACCTGTACAGTTCAACACAATTCAAAACAAAATCCCAGCTTGCAAATCAGGTATTACTCCAGGCCTCTGAGAAGAGACTTCTACTAAGAGATTTCTTCTTATTTCATTAAAATGGCTCAAGGAAGCAAGAGACAGGATTAAGTCAAGTCATGAGTCACTAGGTAATACAGATATGCCTCACATGTCCACAAAAAATATTTGAAAATTATTTTAATATTCAGTTACAAAAAAATCTCCAAGAAGTGAATTTACCTACTAAAGCTGAAGATAATCATAAGCCAATTTTGTGAATACTTTCACAGGTGAGAAGACCTAATCATTTGGTTGAAATCACTCATGGCAAGGATGAGGTCAGGAATTACTTAGCTGAGTACAGTTACCAACACTACAATAACTTGTAAATAATCAATAATTCTGCAAATAAATAAGTACTTTGGGACAGAAAGCACCTGGTTTTCAGTTGCTCTTCCAGGTGAACAACACAGAAACTAGAAATTAAGCAAGATTCCAATTCAGAGTGTATTATGATATCTTGATAATAAATGTTTCTTCACAATAAGATTATCTAATATATGGATGAGAGTGCACATCCAGGAAATCCTTTAGGCAAGGATTTCATATCAAAACATTCTACTTATTGCAGCAGAAATGCATCTCAATTAACACACATCCAAATCTTCACAGGACCAACTCAGGCCCCTCCAGAGCAAACTGTGTCTCTCTCTGCTCATTCCCTTCTTTCCCTAGGGACAAAGCAGATCCTACTGTCTCCATCTATCCTAGGAACTACAGGCAGCACTACAGTTTCTTCAGTAGGATCCTTCAAACAGCCCGTATTTTCCCTCTTCCCCTTTTCCCTTTCTGTTGCCCAGAACTACTGGCATATGTCCTGGCTCCTCACAGACTTCGGTGCATGGCAGCACTCCCACCCCTTCATTTCATCTCAGCTTGGGTATCTGCCCATTTTCCTGCCATTCCAAATTCTTCATACCCAAAATGAAACAAACACCAACAAGAAGTCTTCTCTCGCTTGTCCCCAAGAAATAAATCCCCTCTGCCAGGTACATGCAGTTTCCCCTCTGCTAATTCCTCCAAAAATTGGACAGGGTTTCTACCTGTCAATTACTTCTCCTTAGAGGTGACGGACTGAAAGTAATGCCACTTCTTAAGAGTCAGTAGGTGGATGAAGCTTTTGGCAACTCTCCCAGAAACCCGTTTCTTGTTTCTGCAAGATACTGCTGGGGCAAAGTTGCTAATCTACAACTGTGCTGCAAATCTTAGCCCAAGAACATATGTTCTTGTGCTGTCAAGAGAGAGAACTGCAGTGAAAACATTACATAGTGCCAACCGCCCACAAAAGATATATGGGTGCTCAAGCCCAATGCACTGAGCAGAAAATTAAGATTGTTCTCATTGCTTTTCTCAAAATGTCTGTCATCTATAATCAATGAAACAGTCTGGAACAAAGCACAGCCATCTCTTTGTTATACGAGTAGCTGAAGAAAACAACCTAAGAAAAATAGTGAGGATTTTCTATAGTTCAAATAACACAAATATATTTGTAAAAACTCAGTGTTAGTACTTTGGTAAGTGATTGGTGACAGGAACTTCAAAAATACGCCTTTTAAAATAATAATAGAAATGAAATTGTTGCTTATATTGGGAAAAGAAAGCAGAATTCTTAATATCCATTCCTAAGAGAAATAGGATTGACTATAAAATCTTAACTCACATGAAGCAATTAAGACACTGAAAATAGAAAAAAACAGTCTAACGCAAATGAACTCAAGATTAATTCATAACACACATTGTACAGCAATTACTATTTAATTCCAGATGTTTACTGCATCTTACCTATATTCAAAAGATCAATATAAAGAGTATGCAAAAAAGGTAAACCAAATTATCAGTATCTATTGTGCTAACTAATATAACTTAAATTTTTTCCAATCTTCTTGATTTAAGGTTCTCTGGTGCCTTGCTTTCCATCCCTGCATGAGATCACATGCATTCCTTTCCAGTTTGGTCACTGTACTCCAGTAGACATGAAATATTTTCACAAAAATCAAGAGTAAGTACATGCTGAACAACTAATGATGCAAGAAAACTAGTGTGAAAGGTGAGCTGCTGTTCAGTTTTCTCCAATTTCTGCTAACTTCAGACACTCAGAAAAATCTGATCATGCTATGTATGGCCCTTCATATCTATGCTTGTGAAGTAATGAAATGTCATCTCACTATGATTTCAGAAAAATTAACTGAAAATGTTAATACTTAAAATGGATTAGATAATAATTTTTCTTCTCTGAATCAGAATAGATTAAAAGACATTATTTCAAAACAACATACACTTCTGTGCCACACCAGTACAAGTGACAGAAAATATACCATTACCTGCAATCCTGCTCCAGCATAATCCTAACAATACCACGTTAAACTGATACCTTTGCATGAATGGGGACCTCAATGCCTGTGAGCACTGAGCTTTTATAGATGTTTTTGAAATGACCAAAAGCCCACCAAAAATAGCTCAGTTCATTAGTGGCATATAATGACTTCTTTATTTGGGTGAGGGAGTCCCAGCTGCTGAGTCTTAGTTTGCATTTATACTACAGAGAAATAATAAAAATGAAGTGAAAAAAATAAAAGCTAAAATAAGCTGTGTATTTGCCAAGATGACTTTGTGCTATGTAGTCAGAATGGCAACTATAAGTGTAATAACCCTTTTAATTTACTCATTTCTATTAGAAAATATTTTTTTTTCCTTTTGAGTTTGTCTGCAAGTTATCATCACAATTATGGGCAATGTTGGGAATCTGTACAAAAAGGCATATTCCTTCCAATTTATTTTTTTTAATAATGCACTGAGAAGAGAGTTTCCTGCTGACTTCTCTAGTGAGTAATGCAATTCATATAAAGATACTGAAATCATATTGAAAAAAAATGATCAAAAAATACTCACTCTACATTTCACTGTTTTGGTTTTAAGAATGTTATTGCAATGAGAAATCACTTGCAATTTGTGTTTTGTATTACTGACTAGAGCCTTGGAAAGTAAAAACTAGCAAAGCTGTGTTAGAAAGACAAACCAGACCAGCTGTGGACATTCAGATTATTTACTGACATTAGGACTTCTACAGAGATCAGTAAAAATCATTATAGACAAGGCCTATTAACTTTAAAAAAAAAAAAGAAAACAAACAAAAAAACCCCACCCAAATGCATGACAGCATTTAGGCCCTGCTTTGCAGAGTAATGAGTAATCTGAGCTTCAACTACAGGTAACAGCAAAAAATCAAGTTTTTAGAATCCCTGCTGTGTGGATCACAAAGAGTATCTGAAGAGCAGGACACACGTGTGACTCAAACACTTCTCTGCTGATGATAGGATTTGGAAGACAAGGTCAGAAAACACAAGTTTAAACAAGGAGCAGGGGAGAGAGGCGGGAAGCAATTCAGGATTCGTGCACATTTTTCATTTATTTCATAAAGAAGGAGAAAGAAATATACCTTTCTTTCATGCGCACTGGGCACGCCAGGGGTGTTCTGCTTGAGGAATCCTGCTGTTGTGGACCACCTTGTAGGGTTTTTCCGTGAAGGTTCTTCTGAAGAAAAATTTGTGTCACTTACAGAGGTTGAGAGGCCAATCAGTGCAGGGTCACTACTGCGTCGGACATGAAGAGGCATATCTGAAGAATAAAACAGACAGTAAATAAACACTGACTAGATTTAAAATGTTTTTGACAAAGGAAAAATATTTTTTCAAGCTCTGGATGGGTGGTTTTGACCAAATGTGGTTTCACAGAGTAAGGAGTTATTGACCTCAGCATAGCTCCTCAAGGACAAGGTCTGTTTCCTCAAAACCACAGCCTTGCTGCTTGGCCACACAAGGAGAAAATGAAGGGAAAATCAAACTCTGAACCCAGCACAGCTTGGTGGCTTTCTGAGTGCGAACACGGCATCGCTCCTGTCTGCTGGTTGTTGTTTAAAATAAAAAAGAGTAAGTAGCCAAAGCCTGGTGACAAAATGAGGGGTAGACTAGGACGATGTGCCCCCCACGCCGTCATCGAGGCTGCAGCCTGGGCAGTGCTCACACAGCACGCCGTCAAGAAGCTGCCGGCCAGCAAAAGGTGGCCTCCTCACCCTCTAAAATATACTCTCAATTTCTTTCTCAAAACTTATGGAAGAGACTGTTTTCTATTCTGCATTCTTCCTTTGCCTCTTCCTGACAGCTGAAACAAGATCAGTGCTGATTTACCCTGATTCCCTTAGCCTTCCAGCTGGCATGAGTGACAGAAGAAAAATATTTCATTAGTAATAAATGATGCAGCAGGCAGGTAGACTGATTGGAAAGAGATAAGGTTTTCTTAATATACGCAGAGGTCACATCCATTCTGGAAACTTTGATAGCACATTAAAGGTAGTTTTTCTTGAAATACAACTTAATTTTTTTCAATTTCATTTATTATCCTACAACGAATATCCACACATCTATCCTCTCCTTGCCCAAACAGAAGTTTCATTGCCTGAATTTGTGACCTCTTAGTACTCTTCCACTCAGCATCAGAACAGAGGGGCTGTGATTTATCAGTTTTATTTCTCTTTATTGCTGCACTGGGAACCTTGAATGCAAAGTGGAAAAGAAAAAGGTGAAAACGATGGAACGTAAGTAGCAGAGACAGTGGAAAAGTCACACTGGACAACAGCTGAGAATAAAAACCAGGACTATGTTTTAATGCTAGCATGAAACAGTTCCCAAGGAAAATGAAGGTGCACGACTCACAACACCAGCAGGAAAACACAGTGATCGGAGTTGTTTGTTAAATGAGTGGACAATCGACAATATCTTTATGTGAAGGTCACATATAATACTAATAATCATTTTATTTTTCACGGTATTATAAAACACTGAGAAATGCAGTAGGTCATGCCACACAATGAAAACGTGTAAGGTTTTTTTAAAATTTGCTAGGACTCCTGATGTTGAGAGATGCACAAGTGTACACAACCAAACACCAAAACACTCTATTTTATGTTCATTACGGCAAACAATAACAAAGAATTCATGTGGGTTTTTTTCCCCACAACTGTTGTACTATTTCTCTTTCCTTTCAATTTCTTCTTTTCATTTTCATAACAGAGCTAATTTACAGGAAATAAAATGCTTTCTCTTATGAATATGTATACACATATTTATACACATACATACTCTATACACATATATGTGTAAAACAGAACAAGAATTAACTACAATAATATTTCATGAAATATCACTAATTATGCAGGAAAGTATTAATGGTCTCAGTTAAGTCTACTTGGAATTTGATTGCTCAGTATATACTCATAAACTCTTATAGAGAGTTTTTCTTTGATTGCCTTGTCTTCAACTACTTCAAGTTTCATGAAGCAGGTGAAGGTAAAGCATCTCCTCTCCCCCTCCACAGCAAACAGACTGACAGTGCACTATATCAAATCACAAGAGATCTCTGAACAAAGGTGGCTCAGCTGCAGCCCCAGCCAGTGCTTCACCATACAGGATGAAACGACCCCTTCAGAGCACTGCCTGTGCTCCTGGTGCAGCCCTGAACATTCACTCTCGTTTATTAGATCAGCCTGAGCCAGAAAGTGGCTCTGTAGTATGTAGTGCCTCTTAAGAAAAATACTAATCTATATTTGTTCCAAGCAGCACCCTATGCATATTATCCTGTTTGCCTTAGCTACCCACCCTACAACAGAGAACTACAATTTTCAAACATGAGTTCATTTGCTCCTTATGCTTGTACATCTATATATAAGCACGGTGATAGCAAAATGTTCTTGTATTTTTACACTTCTTCTCCAAATTGCCTGACAAAACAAAAGTTCAGTTGGGTGAACTTCTGTAAGAAGAGAAGCCAAACTGCCAACAAAGAAAGAAAGGATGAAACTGGAACTCAAGCCAGCATTTCTGGAGAGGAACAAGCCCTTATCAGTGCCTTGGCTTTCACTTTGTAGTGAAAACCCAACAATCTGCCCAATGCTAAGTAGTAGTGACTTTTCAAAATACAGGTAGTCAATTATGCAGCAGAATTCACAAATATTAATATGCTCCAGAGAAAACATTAATATGAGAGCTTCTCTACAATATTTACTCACAGATGAGCCACCTTTAATATGATCAGTTTCATTTTAGTAACATTAGTTATTGAGATATTTTCAGACATTTATTGAACACTTCTCTAAATCCTTAAAAAAAAAAGGTGATCTGTCAATATAAAGGTGCAATATGGCTTATTCTAATCTCTTCTTATGAAAATGGTTCAATACACAAGGAAAAGTAACTTGCAATGTGCAAATTTCACAATAAATTATGAAAGACAATAATTTGGGTGTGTCAGATCAATGTATTTCCCAGTTAAACTAGAAATTTTAACATGGCAGTATTTTTTTATTACTGGAATGGGACAAGCACTATGGAGCTAGATCTAATGCATGCTGCTTGGCAATGGCCACTACTGCTCCAGGTTTAATCCAAGAATTAAATCCTGTTCACACTATATTAACCATAACCTGTAAATAAAATCTCCTACATTCCTCTCTTCAATTCTGTTCTGAGAGACCATTCTAACTTGATTTTGATATTCTCCATTAAAACGACAACATAAAAGAATATATTGAACAGATTTTTTTTTAAAAAAAGCAATATATTGTTGGTTACAAACTTCTGTTTTACTTGAATTTATAGATTTGAAGAGGATATACTTTGAAATATTAAAAGGAAAATCAAAAGAAAGGAACTTAATAATTAAACCACAAGATGAAGTACGCATGGGACCGATGCAATGTCACTGATTCCAGGATGATGGCTGATACCGTTTGAAGTCTGTGGTTTCTTTGAAGAGTGGATAAAACAGCAATGAACTCTAATCACAGGGCTTCAAATTCTCTGTGGCACTAATGCACTGTAAATATTGATTTGCTTCTGCAGCTAAGGTGCCTTTTAAATAAGCACTTGAAACGGTAAATCTAATAATGAATTACAGGAAGTTTTAAAAGTCTAAGAAATACGGAAAAATTAAATTAAAAATCATGAAAGTTACCACTAACTCAGTTCTTGAGTCACATTCAAGGACTTGAAGTATTCAACCACAAGTCAACTTCAGAAAGAATTATATGTGACAGAGAATCCCATTAAGTTATGTATGTAGCCAGAGTTCTGCTAGAAAACGGTTATTTGTGGGATATATCCAAGCTGTATAACAAAATGCTCACATTCATAATCATGAAATTCTGACTGGAAGTCTCATTTTATTAAAAGCAAGAGCAGTTTCACTATAAATTATAAAAACAGCCAATACACATTTTATAACCATCTTTAAATGTTAAGAATACAAAGTTGTACCTTCCCTTCCTGCCAGCAATTCCATTTTTATTTTAAAAGGGTCGTCACCTTCTCTGATTTTCAAATACGCTCATGAGTAAAAGCATTTGAGGATCTGGCAAATTTCATCCATAAAGCTAAATATGTCGTCCTGCGTGCAGGCATTCAGCACAATGGATGGTGGTCTCCCAGAACAGAGCTAATATAGACCTTCCCATACCAATTTCCTCTTGGATATCAGCTTAGAGGGCACAACTAGAAAAATATGTACTTATATTTATATAGCATAGTCAAGATAATTTTACTCTGAAGATTTCTACTGATGTTTCATCTCCTCAGTGCCACTGCAGCTTGCACAATCTGGCACACAGTGGATTTAAGGCATAGAAATGAAAAAATTATCTCACAGTCATTTCTGGCCACCTTGCACAGACCAACAGGCCCACAACTGATGAGTAGACCAGGACAGGACGTTTTTTTCTCTCCACACTCTAGAGATGACTCTGGGAAAATGATGATGCAGTAAAACCAAAAAACCCTATGGGAAAGAGTAGTTTTTAACAAAAGAGCTGCTCAGGTTAGACAGAGTTCCTGAAAGTGAGCCCACAGATATGTATCTACATCAGGGTGTGCTGTATACACAGGACACACATAGATCCTACCCAAGCATCAAGAAAGCAGTCTGGGGATGGGAGACAGAAACTGAAGAGTTTTACTGCCTCTATTGCCAATCCAGCTCATCATTCCCCTCAAATCTCCACCTAGAACCCAAGAGAAAGGATGAATCAGGGGCCATCCAGGGGCTGAGGAAAGCAGAACTGCTTCTTTCAGCTTGAAGTACTTGAAACTGCAAGTTAAGGTTTTGTCTATATTAAACTGCAATATCTGTAAAAAAATATTTAGATTAGGCTTGAGTTTCACACTCCAGCACAGCTCCCAGAGATCTGGTTCCAATTTCAGTAGGTTCAGTTCAGTTCCTTGTTCTACTCAGTTGGACACACCAAGAGCCAAACATCCCTTGTGACCTTCAAAAGCTCAAATCCCCTAATCAGTTCAACTTTCATATTCAGAAACCTCTAGAGACAAACTGATGGTAACTTCCAAAGACCACTGAGGCTGCTGTAAACCAGACTATGGACAGAAGAAAAACAGCTGGAGACAAAAACCAGCTGACTGTGAACTTATCTACAAACTGCATTAAATCCTAGCAGCAGCTAACATAAACCAGCACTTCTCTACAAGATTAACAAAGCAGTGCAAATCAAATGTAGGCATCTTGAATTAGAAAAGAAGAAAATATTAAGAACTTAAGCAGTTCCAAGAGGTGAA